GACGAGAAGACTGCTGTTTACAGACGACTTCCTTTTGTTGGCATCTTCTGAAACCGATTTACAATGCTGGAAAGGTTCAAAGCCAAGTGGGACGTGGCTGGCATACACATGAAACTGAAAGCCTAATGCTCTCTTGTTCTCATGTTTGTTGCTTTTTTTCCAGATAAGCAGGAGGCGGTTGTGCAGGTGGAGAAGTTCATTTACTTAGTGGTGATGTTTGCTGGTAATAGAAAATTTGAGGAAGAGTTTGACCGATGGGTTGCAGTAGCCAGTGGCGCTCCGCGTGAGCTAGCCCGAAGCGTTGTGACTGAAAGAGACGTCACTTTGACTCGATGTTCAATCGTTCTTCATCCCCATGCTTACCTACTATCACAAATTGTGGACCATGACTGGAATGCTTCGATCCCAGTTACAAGTGGCTAAAATGAGTTTCCTGAGACGAGCCGCTGGCCTTACGCCTCTCAACATGGTCCGGAGTAGAGAAATCGGAGAGAGCCTTGTTGTACAATCGCTGCTTCTTCTGAATTAAAAGTCACAGCTGCGACGGTTTGTGTACTTGTTGCGAATGCCTCCAGAATGTAAGGTAAATCGTCTATCTCTACTTGCCTCACCGACGAGCAAAACACTCATGGGACCGCCAAGAATCACTTGAACGTATGTTCGACACACTCCTTACCAGATTGCCGAAGTTCAAACAGTGGCAAAGGATCGGTAACGTTGGAAACACTGTCTGATGCATCTGCACTGATGATCGGTAATTATTAACGTTGTCGAAACTGACTGATATTTAATATTTGTGCAAGTAATACTTCAGTGGCAATGCCTTATCGCCATTCCTTTACTGGTGCCTACTTGTGGTCATTTTGCTTTGTATTTCACATTGGATTCTTTCACCATTGTTTTTTGGTAGCTTTATGCTCACTTCATTTTGAATCATTTTTCGTTGCAGAATTTTTCGCGCTATATTTCCTACAAACGAGACAACAACCAGTTGCTGTTGTACCTCCTGAAACAGTGCATGATGGAAAAGCTTCGGATCGATCAGCACAAAATGGGTGCCGCGGTTGATACGTTGAGCGCGGTTTCCGTCCATGAATTGGACTTTCTTGAAAAAGTAATGGACCAAGTTACAAACCCTCCCAAGTATTCATTAAATATCATTTTTTAGGCGAGACAAGTCGGTATCGATAACGTGGGATCATTTCTCAAAAGCGAAATACTGACATTGAATCGGTTTACCTATGACTCGAAGCGAAGACTAATCACACAGCAGTTGTAAACTACGTACTTATAAGCTTCCTGAATACTACATAACGTAATGTATAGTACACTGTGAACGTTTTTTATGGATTAAATTTTTTCACTAAGAATCTGTCAAAAGTTTCTTCCTTTTTACAGGTTCTAATGAAATGTTTCCGTCAAATTCAATACAATGGCCGGATTAAGATTGTCTCAGTGTAGCGCTACGTCCTAACAATGTTGTAACACGCTTAATGACCGATTCATTCTTAGTTTCATTGTTAAAGCCAATTACGCTATGTCACGCACATGATTGTCAATGTTCTTATCCCAGCACAAGAACGGACTTATCTATGCTTTATTTGTTGGTTCTGCTGTATGGCTAAAATATGAACACTGTAGAACGTTTATTTGAGTTCTTCGGTTCTTTCACATAATTCCGTCAGAGATGACTATTGAATATGGCGCATAAATCCATTCGAAACCTCGCCGTTGCGAGTTTAGGGAATTATCCGCTACCAC